GCTTGATAGGTTTCGAACTTATCATATAATAATTTTTGAAAAAAATAGTATTTTTGCAAATATTTTAAAAATATAGTATTTTCGATAAGTTATATATTTTAAAATTTCTCCTATTTTTTTCTATCATTTTCTTTTATGTTTCATATTGATCATTTTACCGGGTGGCGGTTTGATCGGTCGAACCGACCGGTCTGGTCCGGGTCTTAAAAACATTGCCTTTTATAATCTGAAAACTGAAAAGTAAATTGGAAATTACAGGTTTTCGCAGAGAAGAAAATGGGGAAAACCAAGAAGAAGACGAGTCTCGGGAGAGCCCTAGTGAAGCACCATAACCATGCGATCGATGAAACCAAGGAAAAAGGGAAAGTTTTGGAATCCGTCACGGAGGTTAGCGACATCGATGCCATCATCGAGCAAGCCGACGAATCTGATCGCCTTTTCTCCATTCATCACGACTCTGCAACACCCATCATCAACCTGTGGGTTTCGATTTCACCTTAGAGAAACTCCGATTTGCGTTGCTAAAACTCCGATTTCTGTCAATCACAGGGAAACAGGTTCGAGCTCAAGTGGTGGTAAAGAATGGAAAGAGCAACAGAAGAGAGAAGAGGCTTTACATGCTAATAGCCTTCAAGTGCCTCGAAGGTCACTAGTCACTGCTTTTTATTCATAATATATCTTTGGCTTCTTCTTCAAGGAGCAATATATCGAACTCTCTTCTCTAATTTCAGACCTCCTTGGACACCTAAAATGACTCTGGAACAACTTGATGCTAATGAAAAACAAGCTTTTCTCACTTGGCGACGCAAACTTGCCAGGTTTGTTCCCTTTTGACCTCATCTATCATCAAGATTTAAGATAGGATTGTTGCTGTTTGTAGAATGGAGAATTCATACTTTGGGTCACAATGCTCACACAGATACTTGAAGCTTTTGGTTTATCACTTGTACCACTTTAGTCTCTCTATTTTTGTTTTAACTCTGAGGTTACTTACAAGTTGATGTATTTATCTCAAATTACCACTTGGTAAAGCTTGAGTGCTTTGGAAACGCACATGTATGTTTTGTTCTGTGTTGAAGATAATTTGTTGTTTTAAAGAAAAGCTAGATAGAGTTTGGGATATGGTACCTAACAGTTACCTACGTTTTGTTTTCACCGTTTTTGTCGACGAAAAAACTATTCATTTCCACATCTTGAAGTAGGTTATAGGCATAGCTCAATGAAGATATATTTTCTTGCTATTTTAGGGTGCATGGTTTCGTTTCGTTATGTGTGATTTTCCTTGGGACTTAAGTCCTATACACTCATTCATTCAGGTTAGAGGAAAATGAAAATCTTGTGCTGACTCCATTCGAGAAGAACCTTGACATATGGAGACAGCTTTGGCGAGTGCTTGAACGAAGTGATTTGGTATGTCATTTAGAGCTCCTCATCTCATTTGAATAGGTTAAAATTAATTGCAATATATATGATTGGCTCTTCTTACTTTTTTCTTTCAGATAGTTATGGTTGTTGATGCTAGAGATCCTCTATTTTACCGTTGTCCTGATCTTGAGGTAACTCTATCTCTCTCTCTGCCAACTTGCTGCTTTCTCTAGTAGAATTTTTCTGATCCACGTGAAGATTTTTCTGACACAGGCATATGTACGAGAAATTGATGAGCATAGAAAAACAATGCTTCTAGTAAACAAGGCGGATCTTTTACCTTCTTATGTCAGGTAAACTCGTGCCTTGCTTCTTTGCCTCGAGCCTTATTGTTTTTGGCTAAACCAGTTTGGTTGAATATAACGTAAACGCAGGGAGAAATGGGCGGAGTACTTCACCCGCAACAATATTCTGTTTGTCTTCTGGTCAGCCAAAGCTGCTACTAGTATCCTAGAAGGTAAACCCCTGAAAGAAGAGTGGAGAGCACCTGATACCTCTAAGAAGACAGATGACTTAGCTGTTAAAGTATACGGAAGGGATGAGCTTTTGGCTCGATTAGAATTTGAGGCTCAAGAGATAGTAAAAAAGAGGAAATCTTCCATGGAAACTTGTGCTAAATGGCATCAAGAACATGTTGTGGTTGGGTTTGTTGGGTACCCGAACGTGGGAAAGAGTTCGACAATCAACGCATTGGTAGGTCAGAAGCGAACAGGTGTCACATCTACCCCCGGAAAAACAAAGCATTTCCAGACATTGATAATATCTGAGAAGCTAATGCTATGCGATTGTCCTGGTTTAGTCTTTCCTTCATTCTCAAGCTCAAGATATGAAATGGTTGCTTGTGGGGTACTTCCAATAGACCGAATGACCGAGCACCGTGAAGCTATCAAGGTAGTAGCTGAACGGGTTCCTCGGGATGTCATTGAGCAAGTGTACAACATTTCTCTACCTAAGCCGAAAACCTATGAGCCTCGGTTCCGCCCACCTCTTCCCTCAGAGCTTTTAAGAAGTTACTGTCTGTCTCGCGGGTACGTTGCCGCTGGTGGACTACCTGATGAGACAAGAGCAGCTAGGCAGATTCTGAAAGATTACATTGAAGGTAAGCTTCCACATTTTGCAATGCCTCCAGATGAAGAAAACAAGACAAGAGGTGATCATGCTTTGGAAGCCAACGCAGGTGAAGAAGGTGAAGAAGCTCCTGGTCTTGGTCTCGATCAAGTTCTAGATGATCTGAGCTCCTTTGATCTTGCGAATGGGCTTGTCTCTTCCGAGAAGCCACAGAGGAAAAAATGATAGTAGATTTTGATAGACACTGATAAACACTGACGATGCATTGATCATCAAATGCTGGAAATATATGGTACAATAGAGGAATATTTTCTTATATGTAAAAAATTGTCAAATAAGCTCTTTGATTAGATGTTGTGTTTGTGCAAATGCGAAATATAATCAATAATTTTTCAGCTCAATGCTCGACAAGAAAAGTGAACTCAAACTAGATGAGATGAAATGAAAGATTATTTTTGGGTTCATATGCATTAAAGGTTCTGCATTTATACACTATTTGGGACTCATAATATTTGGAGTATATTAGTATATCACAGAAAAATCCGTAAAATGAATGAAGATATTATTTCTCTATAAGTTTACTTATTCACAATTGAAATCAATGTTCAAAAAAGCGCTAAGCGGACGGTTATCCAATGCCTAGAATGCCTAGTCGGAGCCTAGACGATTTAATATGCGATTTAAACGTTTTACAAAAATATATAATATATTAGATATATATATATAATAAAATATATAAAAACTATAATTTATAATTAACAAAATTGATATTTTATTTTATATTCATCATTTTATAGCCAAATATATAAAATTTTACGATTTATATATAAGAAAATTTATATTATTTTATTGTTATAATACCATAATATTCTTAAGCGGCAAAAACGGTAACCGCCATGGTCTATAGGGCCTAGCGCCGCCTAGAACGCTTTTTAGAACACTTATCGAAATTAATAAGATATTAATATCCCTTTAATACGAAAAGAATATCCAAATAAGCAACAGGGCATAACTTGTAAGCACGCATACTAATACAAATACACGTCAAAAATTAATCTTACTCCTTAATCCAACGGCTACAAAGCATACGATTAAACTATTGACATGTTAGATTCACCGTATATTCCATACTCCTCACCGCATCAGAACATTTTATCTTCCCAATTTAAAAACGCCCTCTCACATTTTAAACCTCTTTAAACAGTTTCAG